AAAAGAGTCCTGTTTCTTTCAGTGGCCTCATTTTAAAGGGGGAGTGCCATACACAGAACAGGGACTGTCAGTATCAGAGATGACTAAACTGTCCCTCTGCTTTGTGCAATAATCTGATTAGAACTTCGTTCCAATCAGTTGCCACTCTGTTTGGATCAAGCCTGACCAGCTGACTGTGTCACTTAAGACTCAACTTTAGGCACATTTTACAGCATGCATTCTTTGCATTCCTAGCTCGCAACAGTTAAATAGATTGCTGGAAGTGCATGGTTTCAACAGAAAGTTTCCATTGCCTTTTACTTCTCATAACCATGACTACAGTGTGCTGTGTGTTACGATACAAAGACAGCAGGAACCTTCAGAGTAAGTGGATCACAAGTATGCCTACTGGGACTAGCATGCAGGTAAAGCAATATCTCTAACTAACTCATGTTTCTTTTGGTGCAAAAGATAGCAATAGGGAAATAGATTTTTAAGTAGTTGCAATCTCTAATTTACTTCATTCTCTTAGATATTATATCTAACTTCCATTGAGGTTTGGCTTGAACGTAAGAGACAAACAAATAGGAGAATCAATCAAAATTTAGTCACTTTATTTTTTTCTAAGGAATGTTAACTGGCCAATGCAAGCTCACATGAGCTTCACAGTTTAGCATGACAATGAACAATCCTTTGGGTTGCACAAGTTAACTTTTCTAAATTGAGGACCAGTTCTAAGTTAGCTGTGATCACAAATGATTTTATGTATGTTTTAATGCTTGATCTTGCACTTTGTTTAAATTTTTTTTCGTAAATTATTTCAAGCAACTAATCATTACAAAAACTGGATAACAAATTGAAGGAGGAAAACAGGATTTTTTAAAAAAAATGTAGTTCAAGTATAAATATTTAACCATAGGTTTTGTCAAAAATGTGTCTTGCTTTTTCATATTTGTGTAATATTAGATGTGCTGAACTTGATTTTATAGGGAACACATTAATAAGATAAGTATGCATAGGTTGTATTTCAGTGGAATCTGCTAATTTGTTTGATTTGTTTAATTTTCAACTTTTTCAATCCTATTTTGAATGAACACTATCTCAGCCTGTGTGGCCATAACTTTGTTCTATATCTTTAAATTTGAAATAGAATGATGGCAAGATGCATTCATATAGAACCTTGAAGGAAAGTTTAAAAAAAATGGAGACCAAACCAAGGGAAATATTAGTGGTGATCAAAAGTTGGTTAAAAGGCTGAGTTTTAATAACAATCTTTAAGGTGGCAAAGCATAGGGGTTTGTGGAGGAAATCTCAGAGTGAGGTATGACCACCAATACTAAGGCAAAGGAAGGATGGAATGCTCAAGGACAATCAGAAGAGTATACAGTTGATAAGAACTGTAATGCTGAATGATGTTACGGAGGAGAGAGACTAATGATTACATTAAATGAAAAAAGACTGAGAAAACTAGTGTCGAAGACCAGAGAGGATTGAAGGGGCAAGTCCAGAAAAAAATAGAAGTAATGCATCCAATGGATAAATTTGTTAGAAAAAACTTGATTTTACAAAAGGAGATACAGCCTATAAAAGTTGCAATCTGATAATGAATCTGTATAGAACATAAGAAAGATCACAGCTATGGTACTGAGAAGTTTGGTCTTTATTCCAAAAGACCAAAATAAATTTTCTAGGATCCTATCAAATATGCACCCCTCTCATTTGCAAACAAACCTGTTAGCCAGAAACCGAGAATATGGGCAGACATTTGTATGTTCATGACTTTAAATGAGTGGAAAAGAATACTCAATAATATGTAAAATGGACTGCTGCTACTGCTTGGGATAATTATGTCCCAGGAGACTTCCAAAAGTATGCATAAGTATTGCTGAATTTTAACCAGTTAACATTGCATAGCCTACCAATAGGTTAGGCATCCTTTCTTTTTCTATCATGATTAAGTTCAGCATCCTTTGTTTATTATTTCAAATTAAAAAGATAATATGTACGAACCTTAACATTAATAAGCAGGTAACAAAACCTGACTGATATTACCTCACACTTAAGAGTTCTGTGTTTACGGAAAATTCTTAGGCCAACAGCTTCTTTTTAAAACTTTTCAACTCCTGTCCAAACACACAGCACAAGTCAGTATTATTGCAACACTGTATTGAATCTTGTGTTAAAACAGGTTTTCTCTATTTGCCTTCACTAAACGAAAGATTAATTTTCTATTAAGGTGCAACTACTTCCCATTGTAAGCCAGCAAGCAAAACAATAATCTTAAATGTAGTTTTGCATGTTGGTTTGTAACGTAACATGTGAACTGAATGTTGAAGAGTAATTCTGTTTTCTACCGTGATTACTTTTAGTGAATTGAAAACATTCCATGAGTCTTTTCATGAGGTGATCTTTTGTCTTGTTCTGTTACTTAAAAGACTTTGCTGCATTAGTAACATAACTACACTAAGCTTTTTGTTCTAAGTCTGTTAGGTATAGTTAATGATTATGAAGGTTAAGCTCACTGATGAATATTATGATATCAGTTAAACTAGTGTATGTAGAGGATGCAGCTTTCTAATGCCTACCTGCTGAGTTTGTCAGTTTAATGCTGGTGGGATGAATAGTAATTGTAGTGCCTGGTCTATTGTTACAGTCCTGGGAATCCAGTGGCTTTGAATTTACATTAGAATTCCCATAATGGATTCCAGCAAAGCTTCAGAGGTATCTGAAACAGTTTGAGATTCTATCAGACGTGTTGAAAGACAATAAAGGCTTTATAACTTGGTATCTGCATTTCTTCTTACTGTTCTTATGTTGTAATTATTCTTTTCGGAAACAGAAGAAACATCCCTGTTTTGGAAACCTTTAAAATTTGCTCTGCGTATAAATCAGGAATATGTGTAATTTAAAGCTTCACAAATATTCATATGAAAATTAAATTGTATTTAAGATAGTTATGGGCTGCTTTTCAATAACATGCTTTGCATTTATAATGATTAGGACAAATACAGAGTGTAATGCTTTGTGGTTGCAAGACAGGTAATTGATTTTTTCCAATTTATTTCCAACTAATTAAGAATTAATAAATTGAATAAATATTGAATTTGGTAGCAGGTGATTTGTATAGGGAAAGCTAATGAATTGAAAGGAGGTCAGTTCAGACGGATTTCACATTCTCCAAAACTGGAGTTTCCTTCCTCAAAGCTGAGTATTTCTTACGGTACTGATACACTAATCACTAATGGATTAACAGTGATTTGGAAACTGGACAAAGTTTACTATAATCTCAAGATTTTTGTGGTGATGTATAATGCTATTAGTCATTCAATTTTGTAAAAGCAGTTCTTAGTTTTCAATTATGTGCCAATAACAAGTGCTCACGTACTGGTTTACTTCTAGGCAGAAAATTTGAATGAAACATAACTTACACTGTGACAACATGAACTTTTGGATTCAATTATTATCTTTTCTGTTTGGTGAAATTTACATATTAGATAAGCTGAGCTTTCAGAAGAGAATTTCTGTAACAAAATCATTTGAATAGTTGTGCAATGAATTATGGTTCATGGTAAGAAAAATAAATATTGCCCATTTTTCTCGTAATAGATAAAGCACAATCTCGTTGATCAAGCATAAATTATAGTTATGTTGACTTTAGTGAAATTTGTATCAAGCGTTAGTGACCATGTAGGAAAAACATACGTGACATTGTATCAGATGTGTCTAGCACTGTAAAAGAAAAATGAGTATTTTAAGGGTTTGAAATAAAATGACTAGACTTATATTAAACAATTGATCATCTTCCTGACTCGTTCAGTCCCATGTGAAGAGATTGACATAAGCCTAGTTGGGGAATACAGCCAGGCCTTTACCTCTTTGAGCACCACATGTTTGCAGTAAGGCATTCTGGCCCATCCTTGCATTCAAGGCCAAATTATAATTGTTATTTTAGTTTCTCTTCCCACACTTTAGTGGTTGACATGTGTAGTAATATTTCAGCATTGAGAAGTTTTATTTTCAGAAAATTTATGCATTTTTCAAACAGGTTTCAGTTTTTTTTGAATGGTTGCCACATAATTCCTTTGGATGTAGTTTACCAAATGTCTGTGTACCATGGAGACATGCATGTTTTTTTCTATATCACCACGCTGTTTGTGCGAGTTACAGTGAGCAATCTGGTTGCCCTCAGTATCTTTCTAAGACTGGTACTTGTATTGTAACCAACTTTAGTGGCTGAGGGCATTGTTAAAAAAAAAGTCTCTTCTCAGTAGAAATTAGTCTGTTTGGATACATCAGACAGCAGATACTAGCAAAGATGGAGGAAGCAAATATGACATAAGATCTTGCAGAGCTTGTTTCATCACATTGGCATTTGGGAGCCGAAAAAGTTTGTTGGTTCTTTAAATAGTGAGTGGTAGTTATACAGGGCTATCTATAAGAGATTTGGATTTTGGTATTCAGACTGTAACTATGACCACAACTCCACGGCAGTGTTCATCCCTGACATTTTGAAGATGCTGCTCAAATCAAGTCTAATCTTAAATCACATTTCAGCTTATCATCAACTTAAATAATTCCCACATGAATTTTGCCTCTTGCCTATGGCCTTTGGTTTGATTTGAAATGAAACTAAAGTTCATCCTTTCATTCACTAGATGGTTCTGTCATGGAATTGAACATACATAAGGGACATATACTGAGTGTCCACCTGCCATCTTCGTCCTGTAAAAAATACTATGGCACCATTTGATCAATAACGGAAAGAAATTCCTGTTATTCCAATCCACATCTCTGAAATAGATGTCTGGGCATTTATCTCTTTGCTGCTTAAAGGACTTGCTCTATCAATTCAGCTACCATTTCTCTCTAAATTTCAGCAATGTCTATGTTTCAAAATATTCACAATATAGTTGAGCAAATTGTCAAAGTATCGTTGGAATCTTCAATGCTTGCATTCAGACTGATGATGCTATTGTGTATGAAAACATATCTGATTCTGTAATTCATTTTTTTTCAAATAGGGCATGACACAGTGGAGTGATATCACCTTTGCACATATGAACATGAAATGATTTAAGCATTTGGACCAAATTGTTAAACAAATTGTGAAGAATTTGTCCATGCTGTCGACGAATTGAGCAATTGGATACGTGTGAATGTAACTTTTACACTTCATTGCAATTGCCCACTATGCATCAGCTATTTATTGTTGTGCTAGGGCAGAGGGATTTATCTCGTGCAGGAGATCTTTTCTCACTGGAAGATACTGAAATTGAAGATTGTCTATCAGAAGCTCTTCAGCAAATAAAGGAAATATCTTCTTCACCAGTAAGTGTCAGTAAACCGTTAATCAGTCACCCCTAGTTCACCCGTATGTGAAAACTTTCAATTTGCATCCGTCCTGTTTTCACCCCTTTTGAGGAAGGGTCACCAGACCTGAAATGTTAACTGTGATTTTTCTTCACAGCTGCTGCCACACCTGCTGAGCTTTTCCAGCAACTCCTGGTTTTGTGTCAATAGAAGTGCTATACTGTTCAAACCTAGGCAAAGAAGTCAGGAACCACATCAGCCAGTTCAGTGCTTTGAATGAGCACCAAGTTAAACAAGTTAGAGAGCTATTGATTGCACATTACATCCCAAACAGACCATGGATGAATCTGGGAGCATACCTTCTCAGTCTTGCAGGAGCTGGTTATTTTATCAACAGTGAAATATATATTGGGAGATAAACCAGCTGACTTCAACTCTTTTTCCCTTCCCTAAAAGGCATTTTCTGACAATAAACAATGGTCGTCATTAGACTCTTAATTACAGATATTTTATTGAATTCAAATTCCACCGTTTGCTGTGGCAGGATTTGAATCAAGATCCCCGGAACATTACTTGGGTCTCTAGATTAGCAATCTGGCACTAATATCACTAGGCCATTGCCTCCCTTTTGCTAGGCAGTCCCAATATTTAAATCAACAGTTTGTTTAAATTACCTTGGAATTAAAAGTGAAAATTGTTTATACTTTGGGATTTTGATCCATCATCATGTTGTTGGTGTCCTTGCAGTCCAAGGTTTGGGCCAAGGTCAGTCCTATAGGTCGAGTGCAACCGGTCTGATGATAACAAGTATGTCAGTTGGTGTACCGTGGGGTCTATCAGGCTATGGGTGTCAGCCAATTTTTCTGGAATGAGGAAAAAAGAGTGATTGAGTACAATGGAAGTGGTTGGAAGAGCAGTTAGTACTGACTCAGGCAGGAGAGGTGGTGACATGCCTCCAGAGAGAGTAGGAAGCACCGAGAGCAGGAAAAGTTAACTGTTTGGGAGGATGAGGTGGGTGTGTGTACGTGATTGCTTATGATCCATGTAATAGTGAGAGTTGTAGTCTATTAGCCTGATGAGATGTGTGCGCAATGGCAGAATTAGAGACAGTGGTGGCCCTGAGACTAGGATAGTAAAGAGAAGATTATAGCTGGAGCTATAAATTGTGTGCAGGCTGGCTTTGTCTGATGACATGGCCTCTTGTGGTCATGAGGTGAACAAAGGACTGGCCTCCTCTACGATATCCCGTCCACTAAATCCTCCAGGATCCTATCTGTGAAGTAGGGAGTAAGCTTTCCTTTCCCCTGGCCTGTGTGCTTAATGTAGAGGCTTGAGCACTGCAGTATGGAGGATCATTTCTGACTTGCATCATTTATAGTGGTGTGCAGCTGGGCTTTAACTATGTGGCTACTGTGGCTTGAAGAATGGAAGGTTCAGGCACCAGTGAGTATTTCTGTGTCTCCAGCTATACAGTTTCCTGAGAAAGATGCCTGGTTGAATAATTAATGAAGCAAAGAGCAGAAGATCATGTGAGAAAAGTCACATACGGGACCAGATGTGAGGAATCCTGCTTGACAAAACACCTGAACCGAAAATGGGAAAATTCTGCCATCAGTAATTTTAGCATGTGTTATGAATCAATTTATTAGTTTAGTTTAAAATGATTGAAACATAAACAATGTTGACATTTAGGACTCATTAGATAGATGAAAGAAAGGCATACAGAAACAGGGAGAACATTTGACACTGGGATAACTTATCACAAAGAATGCAAAAACTAATGTAGACTGGTTTGGCTAACCTGTTTCTTGTAAATGTAAACCATGGTTCTGGTCCTATCTGCAGCATTAAGTGTTTGTCAGAAATTGTAATGGCTTATGTTGCTTAGTCTAAATCCCCAGCCAAACATTCGTAATAAGATATCAAAAGAAATCAGATTTAATTTCAGTGTTATTCAGATAAAGAATAATATGAATAAATTTTGCAGTTCATGTAAATAATGTAATATTTTGTGTTTCCACTTTTTTAGGACTATCTGAGGAATGTCAATGATCAGGCAGTGGTAGAAATCTGCATTACTCGAATTACTACTGCCATAAGGAAAACAAAATCAATTGAGAAGCATGGGAAGGCTCTTGTAGCATTGTGGGAATCATGCTTAGAACATAATCTGAAACCAGTCAGCAAGGATGAAGATACTCCGCATGCTAAAATTGTTTCTGATATAATGAGTTGCATCTTTCAAGTAAGTTGTGTGCAAAATCACTTAATGATGTGACAGGAATACATTTAAGTAAGTATATTTAATACAATTGAAAGAATAGCAATGTTTGATGGAACTTTTTTCTGACAACAGTATTGAATACTAGATGTCTCTAATTTAAGTAAAAAAATTCCATTTTAATATAGAGGACAATAATAGCTTATCTCCTGGTCTCAGACCTGAGATCGTGGGGTGGGGGTTAGACCTGCGGACTGGGCCTTCTTATGTGGTTTTGCAGAACCCTGGAGAAAGTTTTTGCTAAGTGGTGCCAAATTCCAGCAGTTGAACTAGCTTTTAGCAATATCAGTGATTCATGAGTCCAGCAGACTTGTGACGAAGGGGCTGTCAGGAGAATGGCCTTAAAATTGCCTTCAGCCTTTTCAAAGTCAGTTTCCAACACTTTAACCCCCACCCTACTATGTTGCAACCCATCGGCTTCTCCTTATGCTCATCTGTAGTCTACTATGTTCCTTAAGGACCTTGACACCTTCTTTATCTATTTGTATTCCATTTCAGTATTTGTTTCTGCCTTAAAGCATAGGCTGCTCAATCTCTTGCTGTAGGACAATCCCCTCATCTTAGGAACTGGTTTAATGAATTTATTAAGGATATGCTTCCTTAGGTTAAGAAATCCAAAACTGCACACAATACTCAAGATATGGTTTAGATTTAGATTTTAGATTTAGATTTTATTGTTATGTGTACTCAAAACCAAAAGTTTAGTGAAAAGTGTATAATTTCGCCACACGGTGCCATCTTAGGTACCTAGGTACAAAAAAACTTAGTACAAAGTAGTAAGAAAAATGACAGTTAAAAATGTTAAGTATTACTTCATAGAATAAGTAGAAAAATAAAGAAATAAAGTAATGGTTAACATTTAAAGTCTTTCGTAGCTTAAGGTAGGAAAATAAAGGAATAAGCTCAAAGTTCAACAGTCTTTGATGAGCCCTCTGCTTATCTCGCTCTCTGGGAGACTTCAGCAGCCTGGTACCATTCTCGATGGTACCACATAGATGCTGTTGCTGCTACTGAAACTACCGCCTGTCCAAACTCCCCAGGTGCCTCTGGAACAAGCCCAGGCAGAATTCACTTGCATGCTGAGCCAAAATACCACCATGAGCCGCTGAGAGACCAGGCTGAGAGCCACCAAGAGACCAAATGCTCAAGTGGTCTCACCAAATACTCTGATAATTGAAATGAAACTTCTTCATGTTGTACTCCAATCTCTTTGAAAAAGAAGCTAAAAAACAGTTTTTCCTTCCGAATTACTTTCTGTACCCATATACTCATTTGCTGTGATGAAAGTACATCAGGTCCCTCAGATTTCCCACGCTGTTAGCATTCACAAAAGAAACTTCTGCTTCTTTTCTTTTCCTACCAAAAAGGATAACTTCACATTTTGCCACATTGTATTCTAACAGAAATGTTCTTAAACATATACCCAAACTGTGCAATTCCCTCTGCAGCCTTATCCACTCTCTCAGCAATTACTTACACACCCAATTGTGTACCATCAGGGAATTTGAATTTGTGGCTTCATAAAAGTCAAGAAAACATATTGTCTATTAGTAAAGTCCAAATATAGATCCTTTATGATACCTTGTCTGTTTACAGTCTCCCAACCCAAATATTCCCATTTATTCATAGTGTTCTGACTATTAACCACCCTCAACACATGGTAATATAATATCTCCCAGGACAAGGGCATTGCTAGCTAGGCCAGCATTTATTGCCCACCCTGAAGTTAAGAGTCAATTACATTGCTATGGGTCTGGAGTCACATGTAGCCCAGATCAGGCAAGGATGGCAGTTTCCTTCCCCAAAGGACATCAGTGAACCAGATAGGTTTTTACGACAATCGACAATGGATTCATGGTCATTATTAGATTCTTAATTCCAGATATTTGTTGAATTCAAATTCGACCAACTGCTGTGGCGGGATTCGAACCAAGGTCTCCTGAGCATTACCTGGGTCTCTGGTCTCTTAGCTGGTAAGGGTTGTAGGTTTGGAAGTTGCTGTTTAAGGAAGCTCGACCCATTGTATGATTTTTCTATGTGCTCTGTTGCTTTGTCTCTAGTAATAGATTCAGCATTATACTGCTACTGAAATTAGGAAAGCTGGCCTTTCTCTCTTCTTCCTTTCTTAAGTAGATGGGCAACACTCCTCATGAATGTGTTAATAAATTTTCTGACTTGCATAAATTGCTTTGTTCATTCATGTTGTCATCTTCCCTGAAGGTTCACTGACATGGATCCGTGCCTCTGTCTGTCCTGTGCTGTCCTTGAACATTCTGCAAAAGTCATCTGTACATTCAGATAGTCATCTATTTTCTCCTGGGCTCCTGGCTCCCACATTTTCTGTTGACATTTTCCATCCAATAATTGTGGCTGTCTAGTGTCTGGTCCAATGATGTGACTAAAATGTTGTAACTTTCTCTCTTTGTTATGCATCGTACAGTAGGAATAGGTTAGGTGGAACAATCTCTTCTCTATCCACACGTCTGATGCCTTCAGCTTATTAATCATTTCTTTGTTTCTTGTCCACATCACTGAAGTATTTACAGTCTGTCATAAATTAATGTATACATTACCAGAAACAAAAATACCTCAATAGTGCTTAATCATTTCTTAAACAGTTTCCAAATATTTTCTCAAATCTTTCCCTTTGGAATTAATTTTGTGAACTGAACATATAGAACCAAAACAAGGATTTTACTTTCTCAGTGTTGCTTCAGTGTTGCATTAAGATAGGATGACAGCATGTTAATACAGCTACAGGTTTTGCCTGTATCTGTCACTGCTTATTACTTTAGACTAATTTGTTGAAGTAACATCACATCAAAGTTCAGCAAACATTATGACACTGTATTATAAGCATAAGTGCAACTGCTCCAAACAGTTCAGTAAAGTGTAATTTGAGATTCTGATCTCACTGAGTCTATTTTTCCCATGGATAATACATTTTGTTCTTGCCTCCCAGTGGTGACAGATTTCTTAGTTCATTTTGTTTAAACAGAGGTAATATTTTTGATTTTCTCTGGGTTGTTTGAATTTCCCCATTTCTACACTAGCCTTATTATTGAAAGCTTCTGAAACTCAAGTACTAATTGATCTAAATGCTTGTCCCAAAAACAACGTATTATCCTAATCGCTTGTTGCCTAGCAGCAATTGTGCATTTAAACACAGGAAATTTAAGAAAGCTTTCACTGTAGTTTATATTATTCTCACAGTATACTTCCTTATTCATCTCCTTGCCTTTCTGCATTTCCATCAGATCTCCATTGTCACGAGAGCTATTTGAACATGTGTATTTAGGAATAGAAAGCATTTTTCTAGTATTTGATTAAAACATAGATTTGAAAAAAAACTTGGTAATTGTTAACATTTGAATTCATTACTTGACCCCAGAAGAATACTGTGTGGTGGGTAAGCTTCTCATCCAAAATAAGATGGGTTTGCAACAGCTCAACAAGAAAGCCAAGTCAAAGCTTGATATCGCAATGCAGACCTTGACATTTTCTCTTCCTCCAAGCTGCTTTCATCCCTCATTCAATGCCACAAAATGCTGTCTTAGAAACTGGACACAATAAATTTTTCAATGATGTATCTTCTGTTCACCTCCATGCCAAATTAATCCTCATTTTGTATAATTAGTTTACAAGTAATTTATTCTACCCATCCCTTTTTCATTCAATTCTAATGTTCATATAATCTCCTCCACCAAATATCCATAGATACGATCATTTTTGATGGATTCTAACCTTTACTAGGTCTCAAGGCTAAAACACTTGCAAATATATTTCAACCTCGGTCCAACATAGCAAAATTCAAGTCAATGGGAATCCACTGTTAGAGTCATACCTAGCAAAAAGGAAAATTGTGCTATGGTTGTAGGAGGCCAGGCATCTCATTCCCAGGACACTGCCCTTAGGAGTTCCTGTAGCAATGTCAAGCTCCAACCTTCTAGATGTACTACATCAATAGCTTCTCTATTATGAGGTAAAAAATGAAGATGTTTGCTGATGAGCTGGACATCATTCAGGCTAGGGCAAATAACCTTCATAGCACACAAATGCCAAGCAATGACCAATTTTAACAAGACAGAATCTAACAATCTCCATTTGACATCATGACATTACCATTGTTGAATGCTGAATGAATATCCTGGGGGTTGCCATTGACCAAAAACTTTACTCAGCTAGCTATATAAATCCTGTACCTTCAAGAGCAGGTCAGCGACTGGGAAAGCTGCAGACAGTAAGTCATTCCCTGACTTTCCAAAACCTGTCAGCCATCTATAAGTTAGAACAGTGATTGAATACTCTCCATTTGCCTGAATTAGTGAAAATCCTTTGTTTCACTTTTCTGCAGCATTTTGGTACAACTGAATGACTTGTTAATCCATTGTTGAGGACTCTTTAGATTCAAACACATTGTGTGTCTGGAGTCACAGATTTTGTATAGTCACAGTCTAGGTAAAGACAGCAGATTTCCTTCCTTAAAGATATTGATAATTTTAAACGAAAATTATTTATAAATTGAATATAAATTCCACCAGCTGCTGACATAGTGAGGTTTGAACTCGTATTTCAAAGGCACTATCCAGGCTTTTTTTCATCTAGAGATCATGCAATTGAAGCAACATCTCCCCTAATGGTTCCTGTCAATAATTTTTCTGGTATACCTGAAGCTATCTCATCTGAAGACCCTGGAATCAGGATTCTACCTTTCTTTAAGCCATGCTTCAGCAATACCTGTGCTGTCATACTTCCAAGTGTCTAACTGTGTCCTTAGCTCATTTGCCTTCTTCACTAGACTCTGAGAGTTGAGATATATATAATTATTAAGCACAACCAAACACATTTACTATCTATTTTCTAGCCATTGTTTGCTCCCACTTCCACTCTTTCACCTCCACCTTTGTTTTTCTCCTTTCTGAATTTACTCTGTGGTTCCCATTCTCCTGCAAAGTTCACTTAAACTCTCCCCCAGTAGAGTGAGAAAATCTCACCATGATGTTACTACCTCGTGACAGATTTTTTACAGAGCTTACTTCTTTGGAGACAAGGATGGAGAATGATTAACTTGATGTGCTTAATCTGCATTGATTGAGCATAATGTTCTTCGTAGGGACATTTGAGACAGCTGTTGATTTTTCTTTGACTAATGTCTTTTGGAGTTAAGATTGGTTATATTCTTTGTAGTGAATTCGTGGTCAAGAGGAAAACTGTTTCAATGTGAAAATGTGCCCTGAACACATTTTTTAAATCTACCTGAGCAGATAATTCAATGGAGATACTCCTCCTTCAGTGGCAGCATGCTGGCTTTCCTATGTATATTCCATCTGTCAAAAGTCATAATACAACTGGAGATGTTCTATAGTTGAGCTCTTATTATATTTTTGATGCATGATTTGAATTGTCACAGAATTCAGGGTTTGTTTGTTTAATTTATATTATGGTTATTCATATAAAGCCAATGTTTAACATTACCCCTTGAGGGCGCTATCACCTAACTTATCTTTGGTTTACTTCTGAAATATGCCTTAGAGAAGTAATTTGCCAATTAATACCTTCTTCACTTTTTCTGCGGTGCTTTCCTAACATTTTTCTAACACTGACAACACGCAGAAATAAAAATGATATTTTTTAATAGTGTTCATTGTGTTAAGTAATACTGCCATAAATTGGATTTTCCGCTAGTTTGTTTTGTTAAAAACTTAAAACTTAATCAGAATATTTTGTGGTGTAACGAAAACCGAAATTGCTGGAGAAATTCAGCAGGTTTGGCAGCATTTCTGGAGAGAAAACAGAGTTAAAATTTTGAGTCCTGTGACACTTCAAAATTTCACAGGACTCAAAACGTTACCTCTGTTTTCTCTCCACAGATGCTACCCATCCTGCAATTTCTATGTTTATTTGTTTAAGATCTCTAGCATCCTCAGTTCTTTGTCATATTTTAGTAAGAAAAGCTGGGGCTACTCTTCATAGAGTTGAGACAGTTAAGGGTAGATTTAATAAAGATATCTGGCATCTTGAAGGGTATTAGTTAATTGCATAAGGGGAAACTTTCTGATACTGCATGTCTGTAATGAGAGGGCACAGAATTAAAATAATTGACAAATGAATCAGACTGCAGATTTGTAAACTTGCCAAAAAGTGAGCTATTATTCTGCTGGTGGACAAATGTTTAAAATATTGAAATGCAAATGTTGCTATCCAACACAGAATCCCAAGAAGGAATGATTAAATGTCTCCCCAGCAATCTTGGTTTAACACTTTGAGGTGGGCATCTTGGTGATTAGTTTATGTACTTCCAAAGTGTTGAAGAAGCATCTTTTGCTCCTGCCAGAGCCCTATTTGAGGCAAACAATTTTCAAAGAAGAATAATGCATCTAATAGAAAATGAAGAGTTTGCAGCTTTAGCTTAGGGCTTTGACTTTTAAGAAAATTGAAAATAAGGCATGCATTCCCTAACACATGTGGGACATTCATTGTCTGCCTGGACGTATTCCAATAGCAAGGAGTCTACAACATGCTTGGAACAGACTACAGATGTACTTGGTAGTATGTTTTTTAAAATGTACAATGAGGTTATTAAATCCTAGCCCTAGGAATGTGATAGAATGGGGAAATGATCCATTGTACTCCTCACAAGATGTGAAAGCTGTCTTTAAGATGCCTATCTAAGATGTCTATTCCCTCTATATTTTCTTTCTCATTTCTTTATTGCTGTTTCTTTTAATTTGATTCTTGCACAACTTTGCATGTCACTGAGTGTGGGAGCAGAGAAATTCCAAAATTATATTATCTTATTTAAAACAATTTTTGCTGGATTCTTTAAAAAGCTGCTATCAAATAGTGAATGATTGAATTGACTGCTGAAATGTCCAGCCATTATCAGAATAAAAGTGAACTCATTACCTCCTGGAATGTAACACTATTTGTACTGTATGAACATTCTAGCCAAGATAACATAGATGATCAGTAGACAAGACATCTACCTCACTAGGTCTGAATAAGGGAGACCATTGGAAGCCAGTATGGCTTGATTTGGTACAAATGACTCACATCTGTCCACTATAAAACACAATGGGTTCTGATGATGGAACATCAAAACCACCTCATTAGCTAAATTTCACAACCTGAAGTCCCAAACACTTGACCAAAACTACTTGTCTGTTTGAACTACCTTTTTTAAATTATACAGTTTGACTTTTGTTTGCTAGTCTGCTTGTCACACCTGAACAGTAAGCAACTCCAAACTTAGTTATAAAAACAGAAATTGCTGGAAGAGCTCATCAGGTATGGCAGCATCTGTGGAGAGAAATCAGAGTTAACATTTCAGGTCGAGTGATCCTTCCTCAGAAATTACATGCCAATGAGCTCAATATTTGTTGAAAGTCTGATTCCTGAAAACGAACCCGTATTTCATTTATGAAATGAACTAATTTAAAGCAACAACTGCTACACCCTAATGAGCAGCTTGACTGTGTCTTGTGTGCAGTTTTAATACGCTACTTGTTGACATCACTAAATTTATGAAGTCACCATTTAGACCACACATTTTAGCTTATTATTCACAAATAAATTGTTTTAATAGATTCAAGGTAGTTCAAAATAATTGTTTTGAATTGTTCAAACTAGCAGAAATGGTAGCCTCTAACCAAATGTATCAGTTTATGAAAGTGGAAGTATCATCTGAACTGTTTATTTCATGAGACTTTTACTGTGTGCCTTGTTTTATTAGTGATAAAATACTTAAGTTTTAATCATTTTATGATTTCTCACTCATATGTATTTTGTTTGTTTCAGCAGAATTACAATAATCCAGCTGTAATGGCTCTTGCTGTTCCAGTAGCAGTAAAGTTTCTGCAGATGGACAACAAAGAACTCTCCCGAAACATGTCAAACTACTTAGCACTTGCAACTATTGGCAAACCAGAAATCCTTGCAAAGCACACAGCGACCATTGTAAACAATATACTTCAAGGTAAGGTAAAACAATATGAGCTACTGGGAATACCTCAGAATCAAAGTGATAAGTAAACGTTCCTTGAGAATTTGACTGCATGACCTAGATAGATTATCAATGCAGCACTGAGACTGTTGCATAATGGGAACTGTCGATGTTCATAAGTTATTGAACTGTGTTTTTTTTTCTACTCATTTTGTGGGATGTGAGCATCGCTGGCTGGGTCAGCATATCTTGCCCATCCCTAGTTGCCCTTGAGAAAGTGATGGTGAGCTGCCTTCTTGAACTGTTGCAGTCCTCCTGCTGTGGGTTGACCCACAATGCTATTGGGGAGGGAATTCCAGGATTTTGACCCAGCGACAGTGAAGGAACAGCGATTATATTTCCAAGTCAGGATGGTGAGTGACTTGGAGGGGAATTTGGACGTGGTGGTGTTCCCATATATCTGCTGTCCTTGTCCTTCTAGATGGAAGTGGTAGTGAGTTTGGAAGGTGCTGTCTGAGGATCTTTGGTGAATTTGGTGTCCTTTTCTCCCTGTTCAGATCGACTTAAAAATCCCTATGGCACCATTTAGAGTCATAGAGCTGTACAGCACGGAAACAGAGCCTTCGGTCCAACTCGTCCATGCCAACCAGATATCCTAAATTAATCTAGTCCTATTTGCCAGCATTTGGCCCATGTCCCTCTAAACCCTTCCTATTCATATACCCATCCAGATGCGTTTTAAATGTTGTAATTGTACCAGCCTCCACCACTTCCTCTGGCAGCCATTCCATACATGCACCACCCTCTGTGTGAAAAAGTTGTTTCTTAGATCCCTTTTATATCTTTCCCCTCTCACCTTAAGCCTACGGCCTCTAGTTTTGGACCCGTCCCCACCCTGGGGGAAAAAACGTGTCTATTTACCCTATCTATGCCCCAAATGATTTTATAAACCTCTATAAGGTCACCCCTCATCCTCCGATGCTCCAGGGAAAATATCCCCAGTCTATTCAGGCTCTCGCTATAGCTCAAACACTTCAACACTGGCAATATACTTGTAAATCTTTTCTGAACCCTTTCAAATTTCACAACTTCCTTCCTATAGCAGGGAGATCAGAATTGCATGCAGTATTCCAAAAGTGACCTAACCAATGTCCTGTACAGCTGCAACATGATCTCCCAACTCCTATACTCAATGCACTGACCAATAAAGGCAAGCATACCAAATGCTTTCTTCACTATCCTGTCTACTTGGAATCTTTCAAGGAATTATAAACCTCTATTCCAAGGTCTCGTTGTTCAGCAACACTCTCCAGGACCTTACCATTAAGTGCATAAGTCCTGCCCTGATTTGCCTTTCCAAAATACAGTACCTCACATTTATCTAAGTTAAACTCCATCTGCCACTCCTTGGCCCATTGGCCCATCTGATCAAGATCCTGTTGTACTCTGAGGTAACCTTCTTCACTGTCCACTACACCTCCTGTTTTGGTGTCATCTGCAAAATTACTAACCGTACCTCCTATGTTCACATCTAAATTATTTCTACAAATGATGAAAAGCAATGTACCCAGCACTGATCCTTGTGGCACATTGCTGGTCACAGGCTTCCAGTCTGAAAAGCAACCCTTCACCACCACCCTTTGTCTTCTACCTTCAGGCCAATTCTGTATCCAAATGGCTATTTCTCCCTATATTCCATGTGATCTAACCTTGCTAACCAGTTTACCATGAGGAACTTTGTTAAATGCCTTACTGAAGTCCATATAGAGTTAAAGATGAGCAAGGGAGTTCTCCCAGTAGAAAATATATGGCAATATGATCAGGTGACAATAGACAGAATATTTGATCCCATTTCTCATATGATGGTAACTTTTTTTTTACAATAGATTTCCCAGTTCAGTGAGTGTTTAACTGTTCAAGTGCTGTGACTGTAAGAGATGTGCACAATCAGATTTGCTTGTAATTTTCTTAAAAGAGAATCGTATTTATTGTCTGATAAACATAGTAAAAATGCTCTACTTTCTCATACAAATGCATTTAAGAGTCCATCCATAATTTATAATGTGGCTGGAATAGGTGAAGTAGGTTAAAAGTCAAAACAGGTCAGTTATATATAGATTCAGTAGATTCATAGCTTGGATGGTTTCAGACTGGGATTAATCGTCTTCCGGAATTCTGCGACTGGATGATTCAAACTTTTTGTCAATTTTCTATTTAGTTTCCAGAAATTACCAGCTACTGACTTTTAGATGCTGACCAAGGTGTATACCTAATCAACAGCAGGCTGGATTCATGTTTACAGGGTAGACAGAGCGAGAGCGATGGGGGCTAGAGATAGCAGATCTCATTCATGATCCACCTTCTGCATTTGCTTTCTTCTGTTCCACTTGGCTGAGAGAAAACCAATTTCTTAAATCATAAAAAAGGAGGTAGTTTGCTCATCATATGATCTCCCCTGACAAACTGACTAGTTAACCAAACATGGTGATAGTGAGTTGATCCCAGGCCCAGTGTTTTGATACAATTAGATCAGTTCCTTTCTTAGCCAGAGTCTAATGTCCAAAGTGATTGTGAATAATGGTTTGTTCCTTGCATACTGATGGCTGTTATTTGAATGGGTCAGGAAAAAGCTGGTGGTGGATATACTCCGTGGCGGTTACATTCCGCTACAGTGACAAAGTCTGCCAGATCAAGCTCCAATCAACCCCTTAAGGGCTGACTCAGTGTGAATTAATCCCCTTCTCTGATTTTTCCTTCTGGGAGGCTCTTTCCCCTTTTCCTGGAATCTTTCTTCGCTTTACTTACCCAATGCTCTCTTTCCTGGAATTTCTTGCTTCTTAAAGCATGTCTGTATAACAGTGTGTCTCAACTAATTTCAATCAAACTCATCAACTGGTTGTTTATTTTCTTGCTGGCTGTGAAACTTTGTGGTGTGTGACTGGTTGCTGTGTTGCCTACCTAATGGTTTCTTGATTTTGAAAAGTAATCTGTTAGTTGAGTCCACTATTAGGCCTCCCAAGAAAGTGAAAGGCATTATGTAAATTAAAGTTATTTCTTTTGTTTATTTATTAGACTGTGTGTTTCTGGCGTTAAATATAAATCACCAAATTTCTCAGAGGATTTGGATTACAGTTAGTACTGCAGAGGAATAGTAATTTAAAAAACTACATTCAGTAAAGAACAGTATTGAACTGTTAAATCTTGTGTTTTAACAAAGCTTAAAAGAATTGGGCCCTAACACAATCATGACCATTAATCCAATGGGCTAAACTTTACCGTTAGTGACAAACAAGCAATGTTTGTTACACAGACTTGCGCACAGGATCTCTAGAAGTTCCTGTAGCCAATTGTTGCATGCAATGTCCAATATTGCGCACCAAAGACCTGTGTAAAGAAGACAAATGACTATCAATTAACCAATCAATTTCCAAAATTGTTAATGGGAAGTACATTCTCTGAGCAAGTTGAGTTGGATATTGAATTTAACGTTCAGTCAGGTACAGAAAGTGAACTGGGAGGAAGGGGAAGGATTGGATGAAGAGAGAGCACCATGAAAAGGTAGAAGGAAAAAGCAACAAAGTGATTTAAAAACAAACGTTCAACTTTTTTAGCATGCTTGCCTTCATTGCTCAGACCTATGAGTATAGGAGTTGGGATGTTATGTTGAGGTTGTATAGGACATTAGTGAGGCCTCTTCTGGAGTACTGTGTGCACTTCGGGTCACCCTGTTACAGGAAGGATATTTTTAAGCTGCAGAGGGTTCAGAAGAGATTTACCAGGATGTTGCTGGGAATGGAGAGTTTGATCTATAAGGAGAGGCTGGATAGGTTGGAACTTTTTTACTGGAGCATAGGAGGTTGAGGGGTGACCTTATGTAGGTTTATAAAATCATGAAAGGATATAGATAAGATGAATGTCAGTTTCTTTTCCCAGAGGTGGGGATTTAAAGACTAGGGGGCATATTTTTAAGGTGAGAGGAGAAAGTTTTAAAAAAAGATATGGGAGCAATGTTTTACACAGAGTGGTTTGAGTGTGGAATGAACTTTCAGAGGAAGTTGTGAACGTGGATACAGTTATCATATTTAAAAGACATCTGGATAAGTACATGAATAAAAATGTTTAGAAGGATATGGACCAAGCACAGGCAGATGGGACTAAGTTTAGTTTGGGATAATGGTCGACATGAACTGGTTAGACTGAAGGGTCTGTTTCAATACTGTATGACTCTATGACTCTGCTATGACTCTATAAAGATTTGAAGGAAATGCACCTCTGTATTTGTAAAGGTTAATTTTCAGTGCCAGGGAGGCTATTTGGAACAAATGACATAAGACTCATCTCACCAGTAAAGATATATTGACATTGAATGGACAAGCTATAATTTTTGATCATCAATGTATTCCATATGTGGAGTTTTCACATAGGGCAGCATGATAGCTCAGTGGTTAGCAGTGCTGCCTTATAGCACTGGGGTCCCAGGTTCAATTCTAGCCTTGGGTGACTGTCTGTGTGGAGGTTGCACATTCTCCCTGTGTCTGCGTGGGTTTCTTCTGGTTTCCTTCCGTGGTCCAAAGATGTGCAGGCTAGGTGGATTAACCTTGGGAAATGCAGGGTTGTAGGGATACTGGAGGGTTTGGGTCTGGATGGAATGCTGTTCAGGGGGTCAGTGTGGACTTGATGGACGAAATGGCCTGCTTCCACACTGTACAGATTCTATGATTATCTGAGATGTGTTCAACAACTTCCTTCCATTCAATCTATTTGAATGTAGAGACTTTCTGAGAACTGTGCTGGATTATATGTTAATGGTGGGTAACCTGTACTACAGGCTTAATATCAGGGGTGAACCTGCTTTTGGTTGGCCCACTTTAATTTTTCGACTTAGCAAAACATCTGACTCTTTCCACGAGAAGTTATATCTTTTAGAGCTATTGACTAGTTGTAACATTAGCTTCTCTGGAGTACCCATAGTGCCACGTTGGTGGCCACCGCTGGTATAGCAGGAGGTCTGAGAAGATGAACAATCATGGATG